GTGGTCAATCACATATGAACCAAAGAACTGGCAACTCTAGAGTGTGGAAATAGTGGCAGGTTCACATACTCTTAAAAAAATATTTTAGCTAGTTACACCAAAATTACAGTAATTTCTGACAGGCTACTTGTCTGATTTCTCACATCTAAATACTCCAAGATATACAAGATTTGAACTACAATGCTTTGTTTAATATATTATAAATTATCACTAACTAAACTGCTCTTTCAAATTTGACACATTTCACTCCAGAATACTAGCATTTCAAATGCAGTATGTAGAACTTTAAAAATGTATTGTTTTAAAGTGCCATCATTTTCATTCTATAACAACAACGAAGAGTCCTTCTGGCACCGTAGAGACTAACAAATTTATTTGGGCATAAGCTTTCGTGGGTTATAACCCATTTCATCAGATGCATGGAGTGGAAAATACAATAGGCAGGTATAAATACACAGCACATGAAAAGATAGGCATTGCCTTTCTGAGTGGAGGGTCTGTGCTAACGAGGCCAATTCAATTAGGGTGGATGTGGCCCATTTCCAACAGCCGATAAGAAGGGGTGAATATCAACATAGGGAAAATTATTTTTTGTAGTGACCCAGCCACTCCCAGTCTTTATTCACGCCTACTTTGATGGTGTCACTTTTAAGTCTGTTATTGAGTGTGCAGTGAGATTGAAGTGCTCTCCTACTCATTTTTGAATGTTATAATTCTTGATGTCTGATTTGTGTCCATTTATTCTTTTGCGTAGAGACTGTCCGATTTGTCCAATGTACATGGCAGAGGGGCACTGCTGGCACATGATGGCATCTCTCACATTGGTAGATGTACAGGTGTTAATAGAACACTGCATTAACATAGAATTAACTGCTCTTTACCAACTTGGCTGCATTTTTCTGCAGAGTTGGTTGCACCTATGAAATTAACCAATCCTCAACAAATCCACTCAGCTATTCTCTTTGTGTAATCTAAAGATTAAATATGGTGAGGGCACCAGCATCTTTGCTGCTTGACTGCTGCTTCCAAGATACAAAAGCACATTCCACCCTCCATACCCCATTCCTATAACTATTGACTGCGCTGGTCCCACATCCACCTCCTCTCCCACCACACCCAATATATACGTTAACTGGCAGCTAGCAAGATAACCTGGTTAGAAACCTACTGCATGACTTGTTGCATGTTGGCATTATGTAAATAAAAACAATTGAAGATGTTGCATTTTTAAGTTTTACTAATTAGGCTAACAACACAGACAGTTATTAATGTAATATGCAGAAATTTAGCACAGTACCCAACAAAACAGAACTTAGTGATTGGTATTACAGAGTCACACGCGTACACTGAACACTGACCTCTAGTCTTATGAACACAGAGCAAGAGAATGTTGATCAATAATGTTATCTCTAAGAACACAGCTATATTATATGACTAGTTAATTGGAAAACAAATATGCAAAACAATGTATAAATATTAAGGAAGATATATGTATAGTTTTGCAATTCTGTAAAGTGCTTCTAGGCTTGTGAGAAATACTATATAGCAATATAGTAACATTAGCTTGAAGGGAAACTATATTTTAAAACAATAGTTTTAGATTACATCTAGACAAAAGTATTTTCAAATTGGATTGTTCTCTCCTTTTCTGCAAAATAGTTCTGCAAATTAATCTGTTTACACCCACTCATGCTTGTTGCTCATGTGCATTAGAATGGTAACTTACATGTTCATACACCATAATGAAAGACTATGTTATATATACACATCTATCTCCTTGGAGGGACAGAGTAGAACAATTACTCTCTTCATGGTGGTGAATACTAATAAGTTCATTATACATTGTACTGTGTTCATTTTTTAAAGTTGTTGCTTCTCCTACTTCTTTTATATGCTTCATTTTTGTTTAAACATACACTACATTTTCAGTCTCTTCAAATCCAGTCCTCCTGAGAAGCTACTGCTAATTTCTATTTATGGCCTTCCCAGTCATGAGGGCTCCAGAGCCCTCCCAACACAAGAGAGATCTAGGCCAATCACTTAGCTGTACAAAACCAGAGGTTTGCATAGACCATCACAGACAAAAACAAGGCAAGGTCACCACTCTGAGGAATTTACTATCTAATTCTTCAACTGAGAATCAGGTTCTATCAGTAACCCATTTCCCCTACCATCCCTCCTACATCTCAGAGTACACCAGTCTTCTTGCTGTTTTCCTTGTGCACACAGGTGTTCAGATACTATGGTGATCCTATTTCTGCATATTTTACCAGTAACAACAACATGCAGTACTGGATTTTCAGTAAAACAATTTTTTAAAAAGGTATGTGAAACATTGTTAGTTTTGTATTCACATAAAATCTAGATATGCTGCTGAGGCTGCATCTATCTGACTTGCTCATTGACACCCATTCGCACGCTGCTTCCCTGCCATTTTCCATACTCTTCTTTAATATTTCTTTCACTACTCCCACTCACTGAAATCAGGCTCACTCATACACTCAAGTTTCCAAACTTCCCATCTACAGGCATACTTTGTTTCAGGACCCATTGCTGCTACACCCAACACATGTCCAGCACACACCTCCAAATAATCCAAAACAAAGTATATTTCCTCCTACCCACTAGATTCTGCCTCTACCTCCCCACAATAGCACCAGTTCTCCTTGAACCTCTGTGCTGTCCATGGCACAATCAAACCTATTTCTGGTATCTAAGTTTGTCTCTTGCAGCTCACCAGTTTCCCTAGTACCTTCTCACTATTTCACTCCAGCTACTCAGCACTACTATGTTCTCTTCTGATACAACTGTTTGCTGAACCTTTAACAACATTAAAAACTGCAAATAAAATGAAACTCATGTGCCATTTGTTATTTTTATAGAAATGAGAGATCACAGCTTCATCTTCAGATTATCTGGAAAAATACCTTTAATTCACCTGATTTTTTTTTTAGTTACAGTATTTTAAATATTAAATTAAGGACCTTCTTAAGAAAATTGCCATTGTCAGCTTGCAATGTGAAGTTCGATACCTGCAGTGGCTGAGCTGTGGGCTCAGGCAACCCAATGTCTAACTTTAAAAATAAACAGCAGGTTAAGAAATTCAAAATCTAGGATAGATCTGTTATAGGATTTTTGCATATAAAGTCACTTTTTCGCCACACTTTAAGCAGTTACCTTAAATCTACTGGATCATCTTGAGCATGCAGACTATGCCACATAATTATCTTTCTATTCCAAGACTAAAAAGATCTTTGAACAACCGTTCATATTACAATGCAATTGGAGAACAAAGAAAACCATATCTTATATATTAATATCCAGAACTGATTATTCTATTTCAAGGTACACTTTGTGGGAAAGAGACTAGACATTTTAAAAAAAACCCAACCTATTTACAGGTGGGCTCTACAGTAATCCCATCTTCCCGGTAAACATGAAAGATAACTGCACTATATCAAAGCCTTCATTCTTGATGACTCAAACAGCCTAGCAAACCTTTTGAGTGTGGATGCAATAAAACAAAAGTGTATAGCCAGATCTGAGATTAAAACAATTAATTTCCAGGGACATAAAACTTCAGCATCACTCCAAAGCAATAAAACCAGTCAAAACTGGCAATCATATTGTCATTGGCAGCTTTATGCTTCAAATAATTACATCAGAAATAATCTAAACTATAGGTCTCTTCAGGACTATAAACCAGTTCAAAAAAAGCAAATCATGTGCACAAACTAGACAGTATTTGTCTTTCTTTATTTTATAAAAAAAATGAGTTTGTAATTAAACAAACTAGAATAAATAATGAGAGAGAAGCCCTAGCCAGACTAACATTTTGTATTAATCATGCCAGCCATAAGATAAGTGCAATGAATAAACAAAATAAATAGATGTTTAAAAATAATGGAAGCATCTATCCACGAGACAGTCTAAAAGCATTTCTTTAATTGGGAGAGTGTATTTCACTTTTTCATTATAAATTGGAAGGCATTCAAGGGCAGCTGACTTATTTTATTGACAAATGATTTAAAGGGAAACAGCAAACATCATTGTATGTTTATTTTTGTAGTGGCAGGGATAATACATGGGTCACTGTACAGTTACCTTGTGTCCTATCAGAGTATTGTGCAACAGGCATATCAACTCTTGCTCATTTGAAGGAGTCTCCCTTCACTACTAGTCTGCCATAATGCAGTTTTTAATCAAGAGAGTGTCCGACTTAAGATGGAAGATGTTGTTATGTTACCAATTAGGTTTAAAAAATCGTATTCATTCAGTTACCCCAGCTTCTAAGAGCTCATGTATTGCGAATTGGGACAGGCAAGGATTCAAAAGAGAAGACTCAAAAGGTTGTGTGCTAGGAAAGAAGAGTCCCAGACATTGTCCACCCACTGAAAAAGCCATTGTCATTCTTCTCTAAAGAGTGTGAGCACCCCCCCCCCAAAGATAACAGCTGCAGGAACATATTTTATTCAAGACCAAACAAAAATCCACTCCGATTGAAGCCGCCCTGCCACGTCTGACTCCTCTGAGCGCTATTTGATACACATCCCGCAGTCAGGAAGAAACCTTCGTTTCCTTACCACCGCCAAATTGCACCACGCCTGCCATGGGGGAGGGGGAGACGGCCGCTCACTTCCTTCGCTGCGAGACAGGTGGAGGACTCGGAGCGAGAGTCCCGGACTACTTCAGACCTGCCTCCGGTCTCCCTCGTTCGCCCCGGGTTCAGCGCGGTCCCGCTGGGTCTGGGCGTGTTTAGACGCAACTCGGGATTTCGGGACGCTGCTGGGGAGCCGCCCCGGGAGGCCTGCCCGAGGGGGGGAGCCAGGCACACGGGGTAAGGGGAGGGGGCGACGCGGGAAAGTTCCGCCCTCAGGAGGTGAGGGCAAAAGGTGGTCCCCCCTCGCCCTAGGGCCGCTCCCCCCTCGCCCTAGGGCCGCTCCCCCGGGCGAGGCCTAGCGCTCCTCGGCCCCTCTCGCTCAGGCTGCCCCAACACCTACCAGCTGCTGGCGGATCCACCGTAACATCCCCCCGGCCTTGCAGGTCCCGGAGCGGGGTTCCCCCTCGAAAGTGCCGCTCGATGCCGCCGCCTCAGGGTAGCCGCCCGCCGCTGCTCCGCCTCCCCATGGCGCAGAGACGCGGCGCCTCCTTAGGTGCAGCGCGGCCCGCCCAGCACCCCGAGCCGGCGGGGCCGCGGCCGCCCGACAACCGCCATCAAACAGCCGCTGTTGTCACCGAGGCAGGTTCTCCCGGCGGTCCGCCCCGCCTCCAGGAAATGACGAGGGAGCAGCCACACAGAGGGAGGGGCGGGGCCTCCAGAAAGGGGCGGGGGGGGGTAGTTGGTCCAGGAGTGGGGGGAGGGGAGAAATCTGGAGGGGGGGGGAACTGAGGAAAACTTTCAAACCTTTGTGCTTCCTCCTATGCTGCCCCTCACACTTTGGAGGCGCTCCCTTTAAACGTCTTGAAAAATCAACTCCTGTCGCTTTAAAACCCTCCTTTGCTGTGATGCCTACAAATCCCTCAACTGCTGCTGTGACCACTGCTTATCCTGCTGGCCAGGACTGTCTCCCTGTTTCCAGGTACTTCCCCCATCTGTGTGTATCCAGTTGTTGTCTGCGCTCTCACACTTCATTGTATAGTCTGGGGCAGGGACTGTGTTTATTTTAATGGAGATATCCCATCTCCTAGAACTGGAAGGGACCTTGAGAGGTTATCAAGTGCAGCCCCCTGTCTTCACTAGCAGGACCAAGTACTGATTTTGCCCCAGATCCCTAAGTGTCCCCCACAAGGATTGAACTCACAACCCTGGGTTTAGCAGGCCAACACTCAAACCACTGAGCTATCCCTCCTTATATGTTTGTACAGGGCCTACACAATGGAGTCCATGTCCTTTACTAGAGCTCTTAAACACTACAAAAATAAGTAATAAAGCTGGGAAGAAGCTAGTGAAAAGTAGAGGAAGCGGTTAGGCAAAGTATAGCAACTAGGGTGACCAGATGTCCTGATCTTATAGGGACAGTCCCGATTTTGGGGTCTTTTTCTCATATAGGATCCTATTACCCCCAACCCCCATCCCGATTTTTCACACTTGCTGTCTGGTCACCCTAATAGCAACCTACAGAGAGCAAACTGGGGGGAAGAGAGAAAGAAACAGGGGACAAGAAGTTAAAGGGAGAAAAGAGAAAGTGACATCTATACAATGTGCTGCTGCAAAATAAAGACATTAGGCTTTGCTGGAGTAGAAATGCCAGCATGTGTGTCTGATTTTTTTTTATTAAATTTTGTGTGTTTTGCACAATTCTGGGAATTATTCAAACAAAAATTGCAATGTTTAAAAAGCTGCGCAAGCATCCGACGAAGTGGGTATTCACCCACGAAAGCTCATGCTCCAATATGTCTGTTAGTCTATAAGGTGCCACAAGACTCTTTGCTGCTTTTACAGATCCGGACTAACGCGGCTACCCCTCTGATACTTGAATGTTTAAAAACCAATTGAAAGTCTTTAGGCCTGCATCTCCTTTTTGTTGTACTACATGGTATAAACTAGTGTAATGCAGTGGAGCGTTTGACTGGTTCCTCATCTTAATCTGTACTGAAACATTTATAGAAGCCTGTTTAAAAAAAAAATTACTGTTTGATTAAAAGTGGATATTAAAGCATTTTCATAAAATGTAATGTTCTCCATGAAATTTCTATTTTGCTCTATTAAAAATAGTACTTCTAATTGTGAAAATTAAATAAAGTATTCAGGCCCGAGCCTCCATACATGTACATGTTTAACCATATGCACATAAATATTTGTAGGATGAGGGGCTTGCTCCTAGGCTCTATTGTGCAAACAGTTAAAAGAGGATTATTTTAAGTAGTAAAAGCCTGGGCTTTTGGGACCCGATCCAGCTCCCATTAAAGTCAAGGAGAGCTTTGCCATTGATTAAAATAGAAACAGGTTCTTTGTGAAGGAAGATCTGAGTTATATCCCTGCTACTACCCTGAAGTTCCAAATTACTATAATAGAAATGTAGGGATGGAAAGGACCTTGAGAGATCATCTAGTCCAGTCTTGCTGAGGCAGGAGTAATGTAGTCCTGCCTACCACTTTAGTCCAACACAATAATGTGCAGTATTGCATGATGACCGTATTTGTCACAGATCTTGTGTGTAGGTTTCAGCGTTTAGTTAGCGATTTAGGCAGAATACAACTTATTTTGGACATTTAGTGTGGCTGATTGATAGTTTGAGTAGTGAGATCTCTCCTCTCCCCTACAGTTTTAAGTATATGAATTTATAATTAGAAAAATACTTATCCTTAATTTTTATCAGAAGCACCTCAAACATTGTAAAATTCTATATTGAATGCTATGTATTATTGAAAAGATTCAAATACAGCACAGTTGAATTTCAAACAGCATTACAAACTAATGTTAAATCAATCCACTTCTGCACTACCACAGTGATTTCACAGCTGTGGAACATTGCCCAGATAGCAATCTTATTGGAAAGCTTCTAGCCAAAAGCTTAACTGATCTGATCAGCATTCTTCTGCTGGTGTCTTTCAGATAAGAAGTAAAAACAAGGTCCTGACCACTAGTTATTAAAGATCATGGTGTTTTTCTGAAGAGTGAGGGCATTAGCTGTATCCTTAGCAAATTCAGATAAGAGTAGCAACATTCTGAAAGCTTACATTTCAACATGCAGTTTCAGTTAGATGAAGATATTCTTCACTTCCTATTAGGTTACTCTAGTGGTGCAGTGCATCAAAAATAACTTGAAAGCACCTGACAAACTAATTGATTCCAACATCATATATATATATATTGCTTAAAAAAGGAGTAAAAGTTAGTGGAAGAAAATGCATTAGTAGAATAAAGTTATTAATTACCATAACAGGCTCTGAACACTCTGCCTTTTACAATATCAGGCAAACACTCGATCCATCATAATAATTCTACCCTTGAGAAAAATAAAACTTTGTATTTCTGGAGTATCCCTTCTGAGTTGTTCAAAAGCAATCTGCAAATCTTAATGAATTAAGCTTCACAATACACTTGTGTGGCACACATTTTACCGAAGAGGAAAACTGAAGCAAAACAAGATCTGGAGCAGAATTTTCAAAAGCGGACCCTGAGATTTCAGGTCATACGTTTTTGGGGTTCTCAACCTAGACACTGAAGGCCTGATTTACAGAAGGCAGTGAGTCTTCAGCACTTCTGAAAATCAAGCCTCAGGTTGTCGGGAGGTGGGCACCCAAAAACTGAGGCTATGTCTACACAACTGCCGGATCAATGCTCCAGCGATCAATGCACCGAGGGTCGATTTAGCGGGTCTAGGACCTGCCAAATTGACCGCAGATTGCTTTCCGGTCAACCCCGGTACTCTACCCTGAATAAGAAGAATAAGGTAAGTCAAAGGGAGAGTGTCACCCATCGACCCAGTGCGGTGTAGACACCGCAGTAAGTCGACCTAAGCTATGTTGACTCCAGCTACGTTATTCATGTAGCTGGAGTTGCGTAACTTAGGTCGACTTACCACGGTAGTGTACATATAGCCTGAGACACAAAATGAGAGGCCACTTTTGAACATTTTGATTTGAAGACTTGCTCAACTTTGCACAGTAAATCTGTATTGAAGCAAGAAATAGAACAAAGGTCCCACCCACCTTGACTTCAATATGAGTAACTATCCTGCAGGGACAGAATAAGATCCCAGATACTCTGAACCTCAGTCATATGCTTTAGCCACTTGACTAGGCTTCCCTATCCCTGGGGAAGATGTTTTCAGTTGTTTACTTAGCAACAAAGGACTTCACTGTCCCCTGATATTAACAAAAATATATAATGATAAAAGGACGCTTTCAAAAATTAAATATAAAAAGTTAGAGTTCAGATACACAATCCTGCAAACCTTTACGCACATTAGTGGTCCCAGTGAAGTCAATGGTACTACTTGTGTATAAAATTAATCAAGCATAAAGACTTGCAGGATCCAGCCCCTTAGGAGCCAATGTTTTCCCGCTGGAAAATTCTTGTTTTTTTCCATTTTAAAATTAATTACTTTGTAATTCTTGAAAACCTTAATCTACAAAATTTATATTGGCAACTAAGCTGCCAATTAAAAAAAACAAACCTATGTACTAAATATGTAGAACACTAGTGATTTCATTTCCAAATCCACACGTCAAACTGTCTTGAGTGGCTCATGACCATGAGTGCCAACTTCAGGACAGACTCTTAATAAACAGACCACAAACCCCAAACTGGCTGTGTGTTCTATACTTAGATTTCACCAATCAAGTATCAAGCGTGAGCTCCTCAAGCATTACAACAGCCTTAACATGGAGTCACAGACAATCCTCTGGTCTATCTTGCCACCTAGGCAAGCTTGCTTCCATGATAGCTGGCTCCTTACACCAAGACTCATAACAATATTCAGATTACGGCCAGTCCCAAAGGACCAGTTACTTACCCGAGGTCAATTGTACCCCAGATCTCACACTAAAGATGCTTGTAGCCAATCCTATAATACACCTCTACCCCGATATAACGTGACCCGATAACACTAATTCAGATATAACACGGTAAAGCAGCGCTCCGGGGGGGCGGGACTGTGCACTCTGGTGGATCAAAGCAAGTTCGATACAACGCGGTTTCACCTATAACACAGTAAGATTTTTTGGCTCCCAAGGACAGCATTATATCGGGGTGGAGGTGTACTCAAAAAAAAAAAAAATTGTGTTATGTACAAGGTTAAAGCAGGTAAACATACATAAATGAGTTTACAGTCTTCAGTTCCGAAAAGTGGTAATAGTTGTTATATATGCAAGTTCTATAAGTCCTTCAAGGCTAACCCAATCTAAGCAGCTTGGGGATCCCTTGTTTATGCTTAGAA